TACTTGTACTTTTACTCAAGTATCACTTTGTGATACTTTATACAACACTGATTTTTTAAAAGAGATATTAAGCTGAAATTTAGTGCAGTTGTAGCTAGAGCAAAATAATCCAAGATGTCCACCAAAGTTAAATTCAAATGGCTACATTTCAGCTTTTATTGCCAAATGTGATCCCCACCCCYACTTGTCAATCGCTTGGGGGTGGCACCTGTGATGACCAGTCAGGAGCCAGGGGTGGCATTTGCAATGATCTGAAGAAAATCACATCAAAATAAATAATTTCAGGCACAGCTGTTCTTAGTTTCCTGAACTTTGAGGTAGCTAATTAATAGTGACAAAAAATTTGTTCTCTCAGTGATTGAAGAAACCAGCAAACAAGCCTAACACTGATCAATACCTTTGTTTTTGGTCTTACAGCAACCAGAAGAAAGGGTGAAGATGATGACATGCACATGCTGGCATCCTGGGCTACATAAGAACATTAAACAATTGCTGTGCACTGTGTCGTTGAAGACTACATTGACTTTTTTTTTTTTTACCTTTTACAGTCTTAACAAAGGTTTTTAGGGAACATGAAGAGCTTTATATATATTTTTGTTGAAATCTTTTTAATTAAAAGTGAAGGAATTGAGAAAGTAAAATTTAGATAAGCTGTTCCTTGTGTCTATTTTTTTGTTTATACAGCAATCTTTACTAAACAGTCCAAAGTGTATTAAGTTTGATAAACTGTAATTATCAGGAATGTCTAACGAGGACATGACTGTCACTTTTAACAAATAGGGAAGAACTTCAGAGCAATTCACTGTTCTCCCTCAAATAAAAGACAATGTAAAGTTGGTCACTAATTATGTTAAATAACTGTGATTTCAACATTGATCAATGTAAAAGTGATTATGATTTTTCCACTGCTGAGCAACACTACAAGAATCTCTGACTGTTTTTTAAAGCAATGACTATTTCCTCTTCTCTTGTTTGGTGGTAGCCCACACAACTTAAAGATGTTGGTTTTTTGTAGACGAGTTTTTTTTCCTAACCATCTTTGAACTGTTTCATAATGGAGTTAACATTCTTTATGCTAGCTTCATTCACGGTCTAACAAATCTTTTCCAAATTTAGGTAACTTGGTTTATTTATTTTTAGAGGAATATTTCGTTTAGCACACACAGCTACAAAGTTTATTTTAATGCATCTCACTTCTGCTGACATTTTTTGCAGACAAAATTTACTTACTATCTGTGGTATGCATTATTCAAAATTTCTTTGTTCCATACTTTAGTGTTAATGCAGAAATTATTGAATAGTTGTAACAACCCCCTGCGTGTAACATCACACAAACTGGGAGATAGCGAGGACAGTGCAAGACAAAAGAGTATGCTTCAAAGTCGGTGTGGTAAAACAATGTATGTCYATTACATTGTTGTTTTGATTGTTTAAAAATTAAATAAAAAAAATTAAACTTTATTATTTGTGCAGCCTAAATTTCTTATTTTCTCCATGAAATGTAAAACTCTCTGATCTTCATGCTTTTACTTGATTGATGGTATCAGCACTTTTTCATTTGTTTTGGAGGTGTTGAACTGGTAGTGATTCTGTTTGGTTGATTACTTGTTTAATTTATCAGAAGTTATTTCTTTATATCCCCCTTAATTTATCTATCTATCTATCTATCTATCTAT